CTATTTTTTTAGTTAAAACTGAAAACAATAAAATTCTGTTTCAAATGATTTTAAAAGTAGAATTTTTTTGGCCTACAATTTTTTACTCTGAATAAATTTTCTCTCAGTTAATAATAATTATTATATCATTCCAAACACAAACTTTGTCTATTTTTCAATATAAAAAAATTAAAATAAAAAAAAACACCCGTTATTAATAATAGAAAAACAATTTTTGTTGTGAATGCGTTTCTTATTCAGAGAAGTAATGAATTTTATGTAACGAATAAGAATCTTATTAAATTAATGGAATTTTTGTGAAAATACGGTGTTATAATTTTAGGAAACTATTTTTTTATTAGTTAAAACTGAAAACAACAAAATTCTGTTTCATATGATTTCAAAGTAGAATTTTTTTGGCCTCCAATTTTTTACTCTGGATAAATTTTCTCTCAGTTAATAATAATTATTATATCATTCCAAACACAAAGTTTGTTTATTTTTTTAGTTTTGTTTTTATGAACTTTTTCTTATGATAGTGGCAGGTTTTAATAACGGGAAAAAAATTTTGCTCAAAATAAGTTTCTCTCTTACAGAAATAGAAGGTTTTTAAAAACGTATAAAAATCTTAGATTAATGTAACTTTTTTATATAACATTTCACAAAAATACGTTATTACAGCTCAAGGTAAATAATAGAACTTTACTACGTAAGTTTGTTTAATCTTATGATTATTTTATAGAAAAAAAAACTTTATTTTAATTGTTTTAGGTTTTTCTTGTAACTTAATGTTCAAAGTTCATCATTATGGTCATCCACTTACGTATTTTCAAATTGTTGATAATTTTGAAAGTATTTAACTAATAAGAAAGTATGGAAACTGGACTCTTTTTTCTTGTTTCTTTATTACACAGTGCGAATTAGTTTAATAAAAATCCGTCTCTGTCCCGCGGTCGAAACGGTATTTATATCGGCATAAAATCTAGAGAAGTTTTCTGCGACACTTAACCCAACTTATCCATTACCGCTGATGTAAAAACATGTCGCATTACCATTTCGAGCGAACGGCGGGAATAAAAATCATAAATCCTCTAGTTTAACCACCGTCGACTCTTATTTTCCTAATTAGAATTTCTTTTCATTACTGTCCGGACATTTATTAGAAGCTTACGGTCGCATAATTAATATGCGACTTTTGTCACGAAGAAATTTCTTTTGCAGAAGTCACACGCTCGACGAACGTCTACTTTTCTGCAGCGATGTCGTCCAAGTCCGACAAGTTCGATTTCATCCCGGAAGTCCCAAAAATACACACATTGTGGTCCTTACATCAGATAACACACTTCGGTACAAAAACCCAAAAAAATTGACAAAAAATAAAAATTAAACGTTTCAGGTTGTACAATATTGAGAATGCAAGTGCCTTAAGTTTGTCAAAAATCACAATTGGGGAAACTCCAATCGGGGTCTTCCCCGGAACGAAAACATCCTATTTAGCTGCTTTCGGCGAAGTAGGCGTTGATTTCGATTTTGGCCAACCCGAAATCAACTCTGATCCTAAAACTATTTTCAATGATGAGACCAAAAAGGACTTACTGTGGCCTGTTTATGTTTTAAGAGGTGATGGAAGTGTCTATAGTGTCATAATCCCGCTAGACCAAAAGTAAGTCACTTGATCGGCATTCAGGCAAGTCAGAAATGGAGTTTTTAGGGCCAAACCGGAAGTTAAAGGTCCGATTTTGCAAAACACGTCCGAGGGGAATCCCCGTGAGGAAGCCTGCGCGATTATTTGTATGAATATTAATCCGGAAGTGGTCTGCATAGCCAACTCGAATGGTACAATATATCATTCGATTTTACTACCGCCGGACTTTGAAACTGGGAATTGTCACAAAGAGTTGCTCTGTTTCGAAAGTATTGAACTCGAATTAGGACTTTCGACTACAACAGATGACAATAGCTATACTTGTCCTATTTTTTTGCATAAAGATGAGTCGAAATCAGGCCGGTATTGTGCCACACACTCGGCTGGTATCCATTTAGTTACAATAGGGTGTCTTAAAGACCTTCAGGGGTACATAAATGGGCAAAATGGTGAGTGACCTTGAACTGTGTCATTAATTCTAAATTTTGAAACTCTCAGAAGACCAATCAATGGATGAGATTTTTAATTCCGAAAGTAAAGCCGAGTATTTAGTTTGTACCAAAACCTCAAATTCGGAAAAAACCAATCCGGTTATAGGTTTTTCCTTGTATTATGAGCCCACCTCTTTGATCGCCATCTTGGCAGATGGGAATTTAGTCACTTTAGGGATTTTGACAGCAGAAGTGTTGCCCAAAATCGAGGATTTGGCACTTGGAGATAAGCAAGAAACTAATTCACCTTTGAAAAAAATGTTGAGGGAACCTTTTGATATCAATATTCAAAAATTGCTCAAAAGATCCTCAAATCAGCCAATTCTGAAGTTGGGAGGTGACGGCAAACACAGTCAGAAGGAGTGTCACGAGGTTGGTAATCCTGTCACTACAATGTGTGTCAAAAATTTTTGCAAAGCTGTTACAAAGGGCGTCTCAAGTCTTCCGCGAATACTTTGAAAACCACACCAGGGCTCGTGAAGAAATCGAGAAGAGGGTCAAAGCCCTCCAAATGATGAAAGACTTCCAATTGAAGCAAATCCAGAGGATGATCGCTGAGAAACACGATCTTCAATCAAAAGCAGAAAATTTAGCCGAGAAATACGAAGATATTAAAGACAAACAAGACGAGATAATGAAGAGATGTGAGAAAATGTTGGTTTTGGTGAGCCAGAAGAAAACCGAGCCTTCGGATGCCGAGAAGGAGTATTTGAAGGAGTTGGAACAGTACATGGAGAAGATCGAGAAGTATAAAAAGTCGATTGAGAAGTTGAAGATGAAGGTAAACTATCAGAAGATACAGATTGCGAATTGGAAGGCGCAAGAGGGTAAGAAAGTTTCGGCTTTGAGTGAAACGCATTCAGTTACAATTAAAAACAACTTGAAGGAAACGTAAGTGTCTTGTTTTTATTGAGCAAACTCTTGATTTTTTTATGTTACAGGAGTGAAAAAATCACCGAAATGGTCAAGGAAATAAACGAGTACAAGGAGCGCCTCAAACTGAAATAATTGTTTTGTATTAAACTTCAAATTAAATTTTGAGAAGTTGTTTTATTTTTTTTACTTTTGTGAACTAAAAAAAAACGATTGAAAAACTAAAAAAAATTGTTTTATTGCGTATTATTACAGTTCCTATAGTTTTAAAATATTGATTTCGGCCCTCTGACGGGCCACGTCGCAACTTTTCGGTTCCAAAACCGGTCTCGAGATGGCGCTACTCGAATCAGTGCTCCATGAGTGGTCCGAAAAAATATTTACTGATCTTATTCTCATCCTCAGTGAGGAAAAATTCGCGTCCATGTTTGACGAATTCTTTCATCGTGACCACTCCGTCGCCATCTTCATCCATGCTTCGGAAGGCCAAAATGGCGTCTTCTTCTTGAAGCCCTAAACATTGGAAAAATAACTTAAATTCGTCTTCGGAGATCTCGCCCGACTGGTCTTTATCAAGGGCGCGGAATAGGTAAGGGAGGAAGGAGTGGGCCCTTCGGACCAAATGCTTATCGTTGATCACGTGATGCATGTCTTCGAGGAACTGCTCGACGGTGACCAAATTGTAAGGGCTGATGGGCCCCCAGCGTTTCTCCCACAAGTCCTACAAAGTAGTTTTAGCACGAGTTGCATACTTATTTTTTTCTACTAACTTTGAGCAAATTCTGGAATTCGTGTGTATGTTTCTCGCTCAAATGCCCCAATTTGATGAACCTTTCGGCTAGTAATTTAAAGTCGTCGTAGGAGATGACTCCGTCTTTATTTACGTCTAGGATTCCGTGGAAAGTTCGGATTTTGCGGCGCCAAAACTGTGTCTCCCCCTGTAATAAAAAAATTGGTACTTGTTTTGGGTCAGAATACAAAAATTACTCTGTGTCCTGGGGGTTCTAAGTCGCTGTCGGATTCCGATGAGCTGGATATGTTTTTGGTTTTTTGGACATGGCCTAAACCACCAGCCGGTGCTTGGAGGTTGGAATGGGGGCGGATGGTGGCGGCGAGAGGGGTGGCACATCGGCAAATATTGATCTAAAATAAAGAAAAAAAAATATATAATATTGCGGAGTAAAATTAAATCGAGTTTTTCTGCTCCATTGTTTTTTAATAAAAAAATTACTAAAACTATTTTTCATTCGGAACAGTTTTAAAGGATTGTTTAGCACATTGATTTTTTAAAATAGAAGAACAATTGTCCTACTTTGAAATTGTTTAATTGAACGGTTGGTTTTTCAAAGTGCATACAAAATTGTCGATAATTTTTTGCAGACTATTTCCCCAATAAAATTTACAAAAACAATATTTTCATTATGAGAAATTAAAAAACAATTGTCTGAAAAAAATTGTCATTCAAATCTTTAAAATTTCTGAAATTCATCCAATCAGATTCGCGATGATTTAGCACACGGACAAATTATCGAAAATTTGCACATGTACTGAATCTGATTGGATGAATTTCAGGAATTTGAAAGATTTAATTGGCTCAAATTTTGCGAGCGTCACTATTGTTTACTTAATTAAACTTTAAATTAATTTTCTGTGAAGTCGTCATTTATTTTTAATTAGAATTTTGATGTTGAATTATTTATTTTCTTATGAATTATGGTAGAATCGTAAAATTCTTCCACAGATGAGTCTTGGTTTCTCAAAATGAGACTAAAATTCTCAATAAATAATACGTATTTGTGGTGTTTTCAATCGCTTTGGCTCAATTTTAAACCGGGAATCAACCTGAATCAAAGTATTTCAACCAAATACTTGCTTGAATAAGAGTTTTCTTTCAAAATAAAGAAATTTGAGCTATTTTCAATTCAATTTTTCTCGATTTTAATACAGAATTAATTCGAAATTAATGTATTTTATAAAAATAATTGCTTTAATCTCAATTTTAGGCTAAAATAAAGTAATTTGTGATATTTTCAATCAGTTTGGCTCAATTTTAAGCCGGAAATCAACCTGAATCAAAGTATTTCAACAAAATAATAGCGTGAATAAGAGTTTCTTCTAAAATTTAGAAGATTTAGATTTCTAAATTTAGAAAAATTTTAAAATTGTCGGCTTACACTAAATTAAAAGCCCTTTAACTTATTTTTTTTAATTTTTGAAATTTCAAATTTTGAAATTTTTGAAAATAAAAATTCTACGTCTGTCGTTTTTTAAAATCACCCTATATAAAAACGGATTTTATGTATGAAATTCTTGCTGATTGATTTTATTATGACTTTTTGATCAGTTTTTGTGAAAAACAAACAAGATTTTTTGTAAAATCGTTTTTTCAAGTTTTTAGAGCAAATAAATTAGTAGAACTAAACCTTTTTCCTAATCACATTAAAGAATTTGTACTTTTCTAATACGTTTTCAGTTAAGAAATTTGTTCAATCTTCAACTGTAGAGCAAATTGAGAAAAAACATAGCTAATGTGTATGTTGACAATAAAAAGAAAATATAAAATGAAATATTTCCGCCGTTATTTAAGATTAGAAAAAGTATAATACATATTAAACTCGTAAGAAATGGCCATTTTCACTCAAATAAATTACTACCTTTCTCACTCGTTGGGAAAATAATATACTATTTTCCTATTAATTTAAACGTGTCGAAAACTTTAAAAACTAAGTAGCATTTTTTATAGAATTTGAACTGCTACGTATTTCATAACAAATAAAAACAAATTTGTAATTACTTGAAAATTGCAGGTGATTACTTCTAGTTAGTACCCCGTATAACAAAAAAACAAAAAATATCAATAACTTTAAATAACAAACTCACCCTGTTTCCAAAAGTCTGGAAACGATTTTATTCTGGCGAAACTATCTATTTTTTGGGGCAAATAAATTTATAGGTGTGCAATGGCTATAAAAATGCTATTCAAAAAAAATATTGAATATTATTTGTTTATACTTACGAGATAAACATAGTAACATTTTTTTTAATGGAAACTAACCACATTTTTTTTTTTTTTGGACAACGAGCTTGTTACAAGAATCGTTGCCATGCAAAAATTTTTTTGTAAACATCACACTTTTTTGTTAAAAAAATGTTCGACTTACAAGAATTAAAGAATTTTATTTGAGTAAACTACCAGTTTTTTTTGAAAATAAATTAATAAATGTTTAAAGGTTGTAAAGGAGCAATGCCAAAATATTTTTTATTTTAATTAATTGTTTAAACTTTTGAGATTACCATACTAATAAGTTTTTTCTTAAATAAAAACGGTTTTTTATTTATTGTTTTGCAAACATATGTTTATGCATTTTATAAATGTACAAAAATATTTATTGAAAATGTTACAATTTACGTTAAAAAATTATAAACTTCAACCCCCCACATTTCAATATTTTAAAGTTATGCTCTCTCATAATTATTAAATAAAATGAAGCCAAGTGTATCACCTGCTTCCGGTCCCACTTCCCTCCTCCCTATCAAATTTATCTAAATGCATTTTTAGAAAGTGGCCCATTTAAAACCTTGACCCCGAAACCGTCCAAATATTTACCTGTACTTTCCCTTTTTCCTCAAAACCACCACCCGACAATGGTCACGTGTCTCCAAACTAAATCAAAAGGTCAATATTGAATCATTGACACGAAAAATGTGATAAAAATTGATAAACACGACTCGTTGTGTATTGTTTGTAAATAAAACAATGCGTCTCGATGCACGCAATGACCCCAACACCTACGTCACGTCTAAATAGGCCACTAATTAACCATTCCCAAAATGGTAATAGCCTTGCTGTGGTAATTAACCATTTTTTTCAACTTACCACATTTTTGGGGCGTTTTAAGACACACACACTTCTTGTACACTTTACAACACTTCTTAATACGGAGAACGCCATCACTGCTGGCTATCTGGAAGTCAATTTGGTTCTGGTTTAGGTCAAACTATGGGCCGTATAATCAACAAGTTGTCTTTTTTTCACATCGAGACTGTCTCTGTCCTTTTATTTTCTTGTATGGGTACCCTCATCTGACCAATGGGAGAGTGGAAGTGGTGTTTGGTACCGATTCGAAGAAGCCGAAGACAGACAATATTGGCTTTTAAAACGGCATTAAATAAGAAATGATCAAAACATCGTTATTTATGTTTGGGTTATCTGATGGTGATAAGGTGCATTAATTAGTGTGTTTTGAAGTTTGGAGGATAAGGAAGTTTTAGAACGATTGAGGGAAAAAATTGTGAAGATTAGGAGTATTTTTAGTGCAGAAAAATTACTTTATCGCCCAGATATAAACAAGAAAAATTTTGGTCAACACAGTAATTTCTGTTTTTTTTTTCTCTCCTAAATAAATTTGTTTCCACTTTATTTCACAAAATTTACCTTGATTTGTCTATAATTGGTAAAATACATCAAATTATGAAATTATCTATGAGATGCAAACACATTTTATTATCTCAATAAATAAAAACAAGATTTAATTGTATTGAAGGGTTGTACGAGTAGCTTGTTTTCTGCCCAAAAACAATTATATCTTTTCGCTCTATACTTATAAAACGATCTTTAGAAAAAAAGAAAATAGTTTTTAGTGCACAGAGCATTGTTTTATACTTTTATAAAAAATTCATCAAATTTTTTTAAAATTAGAAAATATACCAGATGTATAACAAGTATGGAACCAAGGGTTTTTTTTTGTAAACTAACCACTTTACTAGAAAAATAATTAGTGTAGCGTAAAGTAAAATTAAAATGTGACCGTTTATCAAGAATAACATTTTTCGAAATTTCTTTTAGTTTTCGAGTATTGTAAAAAAATGTTAATGGCAACCCACCATATTTAATTTTAATAAAAAAAAATATTATTTTAAAATGACCTCTAATTAAATAAAATTGTTTTTTAGCCAGTACTTTAAAAAAAAAAAATAGAAAATATACCAGGTGAATAACAAGTAGGGAAGCAAGCGTTTTTTTCGTAAACTAACACTTTACGAAAAAAAATATTAGTATAGCGTAAAGTACAATTAAAAAGGTGACCGTTTATCAAGAATAACATTTTTCGAAATTTCATTTAGTTTTCGAGTATTGTAAAAAAAAAAATTAATGCCAACCCACCATAATAATTTTTTTAATTAAAATTATTACTTAAAAATGACCTCTAATTAAATAAAATTGGTTTTTGGCCACTACTTTTTTTATAAATGGTTAGTTGCGTTGCGTTAATTAAAAAAATTATCATGGTGGGTTGGCAATTAAAAAAAAATATTTTTTTCTAAAACTCAAAAACTAAAAAAAATTCGAAAAATGTTATTCTTGATAAATGGTCACATAATAATTGTACTTTACGCGACACCATTTTTTTTTTGTTAAATGGTTAGTTTACGAAAAAATGCCTGGTTCCATACTTTTTATTCAACCGATAGAAACCAATTTCAAAAAAAATAATAGTAAAAAAAGGAAATATCAAAAAAAAACATTTTTTTTGTAAATGACTAGAAAATCTGTTGGCAACACTGAGTTATTGCCAGTCTTTCTATTAATTACATGAGTCTTTCAATGACGGCAACCTCTCAAAAATTAATGAAAATTGCGTACAAGATTATTAAGATTTTAAACTTGTTGCCAACATGACAACAAAAATCACAGTCATTTGCGAAATCAGTTATTATTTACATCGTTGAAATGGTCTTTATTTTTGTCAAGTTGGTATTTTATAAATTTTAGGGATATAACAATCAACAACATTAACTGATATTAAATTTTACTCGTTTAAGTAGAAAAAAATAAATTTATTTTGAGCCCATTTCCCAATGCATTTTGTCTGCTAAAGTCAATTATGAAGTTGGCATTTGTGGTCAGGTCAGGTGTAACAACCAAACAACAATTATTACTTTTTATGTTTATTATAATTTTTATTTCTAATACAAAAATAAGTCTTTTATGTTATAAAATGGCGTTATGTGCTGACGTCACATGTGTGTTAAACATGGCTTGACTGCTGAAGCCCTTCTCACACACCGGACATACATGACCTAATTCCTTTTTTACATCTTTATTATGTTGTTTCATGTGTTGTTGCAACCTGTATTGTGTAAAACAGGCATAAGAACACGACTCACACTGAAACGGTTTATAACCTACAACGAGATATGTTTTTTTTTCGAAATAAAACCAGAATTTACAAACCGGAATGTCTTTGTAAATGTGAAGTTAGCAACGATTTTAATTTAAACGCTTTGTGACAGTAGTGACACTCAAAGGGTCTGACGTCACTATGTGCAGCATTCGTATGTTCCGTCAGATGGCTCTTCTGCTTGAATGCTTTACCACACTCGGTGCACAAAAACGGTTTTTCCCCTAAAAAATAATAATTATAATAAAAAATAATAATAACAATGACAATAACCTGCATGTTTCCGTAAATGTAATTTAAGTTCCGAAGGCCGACAAAACCGTTTTTCGCAAATATGGCACACTTCCGGTCGCCCTGTATGCAACTTCATGTGTGTATTTAAAGCACTGTTTTGGGCAAACCTCTAAACAACATTTCTAATTATTCTAAAACTACTAACAATGAAATTACTTTTCCGCACACGGAACAAATGAACGGTTTTTCGCCCGTATGTGTCCGCTCGTGTTGAATCAAAGTAGCCCTGTCTTTGTGGGGCTTCCCACAGAAGTGACATTTATGGGGGTTGTCCTTTTTGTGCAGTTTCAAGTGTGTTTTCAACCCTGATTCAGTCCTACAAACCCCAAATGTCAAAAGTAACGCTCAAGCCTACTAGACTCACTTCAATTCTTTTGTACAAAAATAACAAATGTGGGTTTTAAGGGTACCGTTTTTTTCGTGTAGTTGACTGTTGTGTATTGGGAGGCTCCTGACCCTTTTATTACATATTTGACAAAATTTTCGCTGCGTTAGGGCTCTAAAAACATCGATTGTAATTTGACAAGTGATCAGGGCCAACTTACATGTCGTTATTTTTGGAGTGTTTTGTGCTGTAATGCCACTGCAAGGCCGAATAACTGGTGAATTTATTGGTGCAAAAACAGCACAGAATCGTCCTAAGCCCTAAAACAAACTTAATAACAAAAAAAAACGGTGATATAACCCACCAGCGTGTGTTTTCAAGTGTTCTATGAAATATTTTTTTGCAATTGTTTTATCACAGAAAGGGCACACTTCAACCACGGGTTTGTGATTACTTTGGTGGTCCCCCAAATTATCAACAATTTGGTTACAAGTGTGACACCAATTATCGCGCACATCTCTAAAAGTGTTAATTAATTTCAGTCAATAAATTGGGGAAAAATACTTGTGTTTCATTGACATGTGGCCTGAAAGGGCCCTAAGCGAGATGAAGACATAATTACAAACAGTGCATGTAAAAGTGGCCCCATTCTGTCTTTCCTGGTATTCAAATATCACTTTTTCCACCTCCTCCACTGAAATTTTCTCAAGGTGCGATTTGTTCTTCTCTTCGGACTCACTCTCGTCGCAATTGTCTTCAATATCAAACTCTTCTTCTTTGAATTTGACCGAATTTTCTTCAATCTCTTTCAGCAAAATCTCGTGACTTTTTTTACATTTTTCCTGAAAAGTGTAACACTTTTCTAGGGTGCTCTCGCATTGGGAGCACACACAAGACGCGATTTTTTCATCCCTAATCCACTGAAAGTCCAAATCGGAGATTTTAATTCAAGATTTGACGAAAAAGACTCCTAACCTCAAAATTCGTTAGAGATGTGTACATTGTCGCTAAGGGATCCTCGTGTGTTACATGTTTCATGTTGGTGCTAAAACCCAGACACACCCTGCATTTATTTAACATATTTAAGAGATAAAAAGCAAAAATAGAAATTATATAACATATGACCTTGATAAAGGACAAGCAAACGTAAACAATGAAATTGTCAAAAGTCAACGTCAGGTGGCGCTCTAATCGAATTATTGATTAATTTCGAAAATAGAAATTTTAATTGAAATAAATCGATTTTTATCCTTCTTTTCTTAAGCAAATTAAACTCAAATGCGATCAAGTGAATTGAAATGTTGGTCAAGGTTGTCATACCGGGTGGACCACGAAATTGTCAAAAAACTGTTACAAGATGGCGCCTTGTTAAAGAAATAAAAAAGATTTCTACAACTGATACGAATTAAGAAAATATTTTTTTTTATCCGTTATTAAAGTAGGGAAATAAATTTTTAAGCAATCGATCCACTAATAAATGTCTCCTGTCCGTTCTATTTTAGTCTTCGTGTTTTGGAATAGTGGTGTTTCATTATTAAAAAAATCAATCAAAACTTAATTGAAATGAAAAATTTTACTAAGTTATAGGTGATTAACGGATTAAAGGTTAAATAATTAATCTTTTTAAATCACCCTGTATTGCGGTTCAATTTAAAGCTGTAATAAAAGTAAAAATCTAAAGTTTTCATCAGAGTAACCTATGATATTAAAACTAAGTTTGCACCACTGAATAATTCCAAATTAATTCCGATAATTCTAAAAAATTCAACGTGATTTTCAAAAGAAATTATCTCCAGAATTCCAGTAATTTAAGAAAAAATTCGGTATTTCCAGTAATCCAAAAATAATTTTTATAATTACAAATAATTTCAAGCAATTTTGAATGAATTCCAAAAATTTGTACAATTAATTTTAGACTTATCAGCTTCTCGGGTTTTCAAATTAAATTTTAGAATCATTCAGAAAAAAAAACTTTTTTTTAGATTTAGTGCTAAAGCTAGCATTTTTTTAATCAACTATTTTTGAGACCTTTTATATACTGATATAAGATTTTTCTCGTCAATTACTATAATTAAGAAATTTTAAATCACCCTGTATTGCGGTTCAATTTAAAGCTTTAATAAAAGTCAAAAATCTAAAGTTTTCATCAGATATTAAAACTAAGTTTGCACCACGGAATAATTCCAAATTAATTCCGATAATTCTAAAAATTCAACGTGATTTTCAAAAGAAATTATCTCCAGAATTCCAGTAATTTAAGAAAAAATTCAGTATTTCCAGTAATCCAAAAATAATTTTTATAATTACAAATAATTTCAAGCAATTTTGAATGAATTCCAAAAATTTGTACAATTAAAAACTTTTTTTTAGATTTAGTGCTAAAGCTAGCATTTTTTTAATAAACTATTTTTGAGACATTTTATATACTGATATAAGATTTTTTTCGTCAGTTACTATAATTAAGACATTTTAAATCACCCTGTATTGCGGTTCAATTTAAAGCTCTAATAAATGTCAAAACTATAAAGTTTTCTTCAGAGTAACCTATGATATTAAAACTAAGTTTGCACCACTGAATTAAATAGAGGCAGAAGATATGACATTCTTGAATTTAAAAATCAGACGCCATTTTGATTGCAAATATAAATGAATCAAGAATGAAATCTGTTTTAATAACTAAAGTTTACTTAAAATTACTCAAACTGTCAAAAGTTAAGTTGGCAGTTTTGACGAAATAATTGACAAATTTGTAATAAGATTTAAAAATATGTAAAGTTTGAAGTTATTTGATATTCTGTTTTTTTTTATTTATTCACAGCATTTCGAAACTAACATTAGCTTGAAATATCTTTTAGTAGCAAACACTGAGGCTAAAATAACTTACACAACAAAAACAACTTTGTTTGAATGAGATATTATTCGAGAATTAATTAATTAATTAAGAATTTTAAAAAATAGCTTAGAAATGCACGAAATGACGTCATTTAAAATTAATTTAACTGTTTTGAAGTAGGTATAAGAAAAAAAATAATTTAAAATAAATTATCCCGGCGCATCCACCAAAATTGTTTTTTTTTTAATTTCCAAAAAATTTTTGTTTTTTTGTTTATTATTTTATTGTTATTATTCTTACCTGTGGGTGCTTGTCCCTTACCGCCTCCCCACTAAATAAATCAGTCGGCGTTGCGCCGTAGCGCACCCGCTGGCAAAATCAATACAGCCCCAGTGTAAGCGTGCACTCGAAAATGTCCCAGCGCGTCGGAGCCCGGGCCTCGGCCCCCTAGTGATGCTTGTTTGCGTGCGAGTGCTAGCGCTGCTGTGCCTCGTGGGGGCGCAGCGGCCCAACTTGGACGCCCGCCGCCACGACGTCTACATCGCCGGATTTTTCCCCTTCGGCAAGGGCGTCGAGAACTCGGAGACAGGTACCCGACTCGTCGCACACAGCCCCCATTTCCTAACCAAATTTTTAGGCCGCGGAGTGATGCCGAGCGTCAAATTAGCCTTGGACCATGTCAACGACCACTCGATCCTCAGCAATTACCGGCTGCACATGTGGTGGAATGATACGATGGTGAGTGGGGGCGAAGGGGGCGAAAGGGGCGCCACATGGGGTCGGGAAGACAGTTGCGGCGGATTTCGATTCAAAGTCCGTTCGCTGCATTCCCAGCCCGGTGTTGTGTCGAGACAACAAGGGGGCACTGTTTACACCGGAAGAGGAAATTGCGCAAACAGGAAGGGCTGATTGGGGTTGTGCTTCGGGTTTTTGTAGGGCAAGGTCAAAGGTTTATAAATTAGAAACAAGGGTGGACTTCAGTCTTTCATTTGCTTTATTAATAATGAAAAGGACTACGTACTTTCACCTGTAATTTTGATCTAATTTTAGACAAGAGAAAAAAATATTTTAAAAAATTATTTTCCCGGCGCATCCACCAAAATTGAGCGAATATTTTTGCAAAATAAATATTTTTGAGTTTAATTTTTACACAACATTAAGTTTAAACTAGGGAAGTGACTCCAATACTTGTTTGTCAACTGTTTACTATTATTCCTTAGTAATTTTAAATAAAATATAGCTTTTAGTAATTTTTGTCATTGAAAATGTGTTACCAGATCAAGACTTTAAATGTTTGTCACTCAAAACAGTACATGTTTGATTATTATTATCATTAATAATTATTTATTTGAGCAGGAATTAAGAAAAAACTTAGTCTATAAATAATTAAATTGTTTTAATTTAATGGGAATACTATCCCGGCGCATCCACCAAAATTCATTTTTAAACATTGTTTTTAAATCTAGTATTTAATTTTTAACATCGAATTTATAGAAAAGTGACTCTAATATGCGTTTACGAAATGCTACTGTTTAATAATTTGAAAAAAATTAAATATTTTTGAAAGTTTCCTTATAAATGCTTTCGTACTAAAACTTTTTTTGTTATTCAATGCAACAAATGTTTTATTACGAATAAAAAGAACAAATCATCCAATGGAATTACAAAAACTAACGCAAAATAGAACAAAATCGTCACAACAAACGCGAAATAAAAAAAAAATATTTTCAAAAATGGTCTTGTATTTTTGAACAAAGTTTACATAATGGAAGATTTTATTGAATTATTCCCCACATTTAGTACATTTCGATACCAAGTATAGGAAGCTATGACTCGTAAAAAGTGTTTTCAGGAAGGGCTTGAAAAAAATATGTACAATTCCAATTCCAGAAAAAATACCGAAATTCCAGTAATTCTAAAAAAAAATTAATTCCAAAATAATTCCTGTAATTCCAAATCAATTCCGATGATTCTAAAAAAATTCAACGTGATTTTCAAAAGAAATTTTCTCCAAAATTCCAGTAATCCACAAATAATTTTTATAATTACAAATTTCAAGCAATTTTGATTGAATTCCAAATTTGTACAATTAATTTTAGACTTAACAGCTTTTCGGGTTTTCAAATTAAGTTTTAGAATAATTCAGAAAAAACCCTTTTTTTAGATTTAGTGCTAAACCTACCATTTTTTTAATTAAAATTAATGTTTTTATTTTTAAGACATATACTGATATAAGAAGATTTTTTCGTCAATTACTATAATTAAGAAATTTTTAATTTTTTAATCCCTGCGCATCCACCAAAATTCAATTTTCAAATGTAGTTTTTAATTTTTAATATCGAATTTATAGAAAAGTGACTCTCATATGCATTTACGAAGTGTAACTGTTTAATAATTTGAAAAAAATGAAATATTTTTGAAAGTTTTCTTATAAATGTGGCTGCTTTCATTCTAAAACTTGAGACTTTTTTTGTTATTCAATGCAAAAAAATGTTTTATTACAAATAAAAACAACTAATTATTTAATAGAGTTACAAAATTGTCATAACTAACCCGAAATAAAAAAATATATAAAAATGGTACTTTTGAACAAAGTTTACAGAATAGGAGATTTTATTGAATTATTCCCACCATTTAGTATATTTCGATACCAATTATACGAAGCTATGACTCGGAAAAAGGGTTTTCAGGAGGGGCTGTTAACCTGAAAAAAATATGTACAACTAATTCCAATTCCAGAAAAAAATTACCGAAATTCCAGTATATCTAAAAAAAATCATCGAAATTCTTGTAAAAAATTACCGAAAACAAAGAATTACGATGGATTATTTTTTAATAATCCATCATAATTCATTGTTTTCAAATTAATTTCTATATTTCCAAATCAGTTCTTGTAATTTCAACTTAATTTTTCAATTTCAAAATAATTCCTGTAATTCCAATTTAATTCCGATGATTTAAAAAAATTCAAAGTTATTTTCAAAAGAAATAATTATCTCCAGAATTCCAGTAATTCAGAAATAATTCCGGCAATTTCAAACAATCCAAAGAGAATTTTAATAATTAATTTTCTATTTTTCTTAATGTTTCTTTTTCTACTCTGTAATTTTTTAGTTTATAACTAACACTAAAATAACACAAATTATTTTTACTGCGATCTTTAGCATCTTTATTTTTAATCAACTTCTATTTTGTTTTTTTATGTCTTTTATGTTTAATTTGCTGACCAAAAATGGAAACAATATTTTTTTAACTTCTATTGAATTACTCTTCTATTTATTTGTTGCTTTTTGTAAACTTTACAATCTTGTAGTTTTTGTGTTTTGTAATGAATTTTCCCGGCGCATCCACCAAAATTTACAATATCTTGTCGAAGACACAAAAAAATGTAAAATGTGCATGATTTTATTCACGAATTTGTAAGAAAATTTCAAAACCTTGTACAACGAAACTTTAGAGAATTTTAAAAAAAACTTGCTTTGCACCCCCAATCTACGTCATTTCTCCAATGACCTACCCCGATTACGCCTCAATCCGCCCTTAATAAAATTATTTTTGGCAATAATCCCAATCTTTGTTTGTCACTCTTGCCAACAAAACAACCTTCCTGTTTACGTTCCATTTTTGGCGTCACTTAAATCGATTTCTCTCTCAATCTCCCCCTAACTGTCCCATTTTCCAGTGCAACGCCGCCGTGGGGGTCAAAGCCTTCTTCGACATGATGCACAGCGGCCCCCACAAGCTCATGCTTTTCGGGGCTGCTTGTACACACGTCACCGACCCCATCGCCAAAGCGTCCAAACACTGGCATCTGACACAAGTATTTGAATTTCCCGCCCAAAAAACAATTTTTACAAGAATTTTTTCAGCTGTCGTATGCCGACACGCATCCTATGTTTACCAAAGACAATTTCCCGAATTTTTTCCGAATTGTTCCGTCGGAAAACGCCTTCAATTCGCCAAGACTGTCACTTTTGAAAGAGTTTAATTGGACGAGAGTGGGGACGATTTACCAGAACGAACCGAGATACTCGCTTGCGCACAACAGGTAACGAGGGGAATCCCCGAAGGGCTATTTCACGCGGGAAAATTTCAGGTTGGTGGCCGAGTTGGACACTTTGTCTTTTTCGGTCGCAGAAACACAGAGTTTTACAAATGAAGTCACCACAGCACTGAGTAAACTCAAAGAAAAGGATACGAGGATTATTTTAGGGAATTTTAACGAAAGGTGGGCCCGAATGATTTTCTGTGAGGCTTACAAACTGGAAATGTATGGCCGGAAGTACCAATGGATCATCATGGGGACGTATGGTCATTACTGGTGGCGGAAAAACGACAGTGACAGTAACTGTACTTTGGAAGAGATCGAGACGGCCTTGGAACAGACTCTCCTTACCGATTTGCTCCCTCTGTCGACGAGCGGCGAAATCACAATTTCGGGCATTGTGAGTATTACTGTAGTAGCCATTTATTTTATTACAAAGTTGGCACCCCTAGCCCAACACCTCTAGTGTGTGTGTTGTGTCTGTTGGCAGCAAAAGTTACTAAATTGTCTATAATTGTGACAGGCACTTATATTCAGTGTTGCCAGGTTTGGTCAAAATTTCACCAGATTTGATGATTTGGTAAAAACTTTTGTGAAAATTCTAATATCTGGTGATTTTTTGAAAATGCAAAAAAAATTGTTTTCTAGGATTTTCCACGTCTTCAACCAGAAACTTGATTATTTCGTATTTTTTTTTTTTTTTCAAAAAAGGCGAAAAACCACCAAATTGGTTAAAAATAGTTCTGTTTGTTTTTTTTTACAAGATTTTACTAAACAGGATCGCAAATGCCAATTTATTTTTGTAGTAGAAACACAATTATTTCGTAAAATTTCGTTGAAAACCAAACCAAAAACGGCGTTATTTTTGCTTTTTTCAAGTGTTTAAATATGTTTCTGAGATAAAACAAGAAAATTCTAAAAATTTTGTTGAAACAGCAAAATTAAATGGAAATTGATATTATTTTTAGCTTTTAGATTCACAAAATCTTGTCCAAACACGCTTAAAAATCACAAAAACAATTGATATTAGTGTTATTTTGTTTGTTTCACTTGATTTCACTGATTTTTGAGCAAAATAAAACAAAAATAAGCCGAGAATTTTTTAAAGCACGTTTTTAGGATTTGTTGCAAGATTTCTCTAAAACGAACTAAAAAATCACCAAATTAAGTCAAAAATTACATTAATTTCGCTATTTTTGAGCGATTTTGTATGTTTTTTTAGATAGAAAGGGAATTATTTCGCAAAATTGCTTAAAAACAAGCCAAAAAAACGCAGAATTAGGCCGAAAAATGATATAATTGCTTCGTTTTTCGAATGTGCAAGCAGATTTTTAAGCTGAAAACTCTGTTTTTTAGCGATAGTTTGCCATAGCGTGTCAAAAATCACTAAATTGTTACAAAAAAGTTTATATTATGATATTTTTACCTAACTCTTAAGCTTTAACTTCATTATTTCGTCAAATTTTCTTGAAGAAAAAATAATGGAAAACCACCAAATTGGTTAAAAATAGTTCTATTTGTTTTTTACAAGATATTACCAAACAGAGTGGAAAGTGACAACTTATTTTAGTTTTTTCGAATGCTTTTTCCGCTAGAAACACAATTATTTTGCAAAATTTTGACAAAAACAAGCCACAAAGTAGCCCAAAAACCACGTTTTTCGTCGTTGTCGAGTGTTTAAGGATGTTTTTGAAAGATAAAAACACAAAAAGTTCGAAATATTGCATTGAAATAGGCAAACAACTTAAAAATTAAATCGAAATTGATATCATTTTTTAGCTTTTTTCACTCGATTTTTGCGCAAAATAAGACAAAAATAAGCTGAGAAACCACAAACTTAGTCCGAAAATGCTTTTTTTAAGTACGTTTTTGTGGTAAAATCTCAGATTTTTCACTAGTTTTCGCTAAAGAAAACTAAAAAATCAAGAAAATAAGTCCAGAATTACATAATTTTTGCACTTCTCTAGCATTTTAGCACGTTTTTCAGCTAGTATCGCAATTATTTCGCAAAATTTAGTTGAAAACAAGCCGAAAATCACAGAATCAAGCGGATTTTTAAGCTGAAAACTGCGTTTTTTCGTGAGATTTTGCCATACAAATCGTAATCTGGTGAAAATTTGGCGAATTTTTCAATTAGGATCTGGTGATTTTTTTGATGTGGCAACACTGAGTATTCTAACTAGAGATGGGAACATCGAAAAATATATCGAATAAGAAATCATCGATGTAATAATATATATCGCCACAAAACATCGATACTTAAAAAAATTGATGTTTTTTGTTGAAAAAAAAATCATTTACCAATTTTTCAATAATAAATTTTTGGAACATAAAAAATACAAATACAAATAATTCTTGCACAAATACAAACTACAAACACAAAACTTAACCACCTACATCACTTCATCATCGTCAATTTTGTTAAAAAACATCGAATTTTCCATACATCGAATTTAAATTTCATCGAATGAAATTTTAAAATTAAACAAAATAAACATAATTAAAAATAATTAACTGAACTAATTTCGATGTATCGAAGTAAAATCGATGTATTTGACCAATATTCGATGTTTGAAACAACTTTTTAGAAATTTACACAGGGAAGTGATCACTCTGAATTGACTGCGATTTAAATACATCCATTTTTGGCAGTGTGATACTTACTTAGTTTCTTTTTCAAAATTTGTTGTCATGTGTTGTTGTTTTCTTTTTTTTCATACTTAATATACTACAAATGTGTTTAAAACAAAAATTCCTAAATTGGGCAACTATGTGATTCCCCAGACCGCCGACGAGTACAATATGGAGTACGACTCGCGCCGTGGCAGCGAATACTCCCGTTTCCATGGCTACACCTACGACGGCATCTGGGCTGTAGCCCTCGCCATCAAGAACGTAGCCCACCGGATCCGCGTCATCAAGCGTAATTTGACAGTTAGTGACTTCCGGTACCATGACCCCATCTGGGAGAAACTCTTCCTGGACGCTTTACGCAACACAAGTTTCGAAGGAGTGACAGGTCCAGTCCGTTTCTATGACAACGAACGCAAAGCCAGTATTTTACTGAAACAGTTTCAAGACGGCCAGGAGATCAAAGTTGGCGAGTACAGTGCTGCCACCCAACATCTCGATCTGACCCTAGGCGCGCCACTCAAATGGATCGGAAAGTAATTTATTGTTGTTACGTTGGCAATTCTATGATTTTTTTCTTTTAGACACCCTCCCAAAGACAGGACTTTGCTCATAATCGAGCACACGAGGGTCAATAAAACCGTCTATGCCATTTTGGCCACATTGGCCGTTTGTGGCATTATTATGGCCACCGTTTTTCTCGCCTTCAATATCAAGTATCGCAATCAGCGCTATATCAAAATGTCCAGTCCACAACTCAACAATCTGATTATCATTGGGTGTATACTCACGTACACGAGTATCGTGTTTTTGGGTTTGGACTCGGGGTTAAGTAGTATTGAGGCCTTTCCGTATATTTGTACAGCGAGGGTTTGGACGCTAATGGCGGGGTTTTCACTCGCCTTCGGTGCGATGTTCAGTAAAACGTGGCGAGTGCATTCGATTTTTACCGATGTTAAGCTCAACAAAAAAATTATTAAAGATTATAAACTCTTTATGGTCGTTGGTGTGTTGCTGTTCATTGATTTGGTGATTATGACCACGTGGCAGTTTGCTGACCCGTTTTACAGGGAGACCAAGCAACTGGAACCTTACGTGAGTAGCGCACGAGGAACATACACATTTTTTCTACTACTTCACTTTTCAAATTTTTACTAAATTTTCTTGCATTAGCTTTTAATTTAGTGTCTTCACTTTTTGGTCTTTCGCTCTTTGACATTTGCATTTTTATTGTATCTTTTTTTTTTTTGTTTTAAATGTTTATTGAAGTCATGTTTGTGTGATTGTTATTATTTCCATTTCTTGAGTTTTATTTAGTCTTATTTTTTATTTGGTTAATTATTAAAATTTAAAGTCAATTGTTTTCTTTTTATCATTGATTGTTTTTTCTTTTTTTTTCTTTCCTTTTTTATCTTTTCTTCCTAGCTTTCGCACGAGAAACATTCACATTTTTTCTTCTACTTCTTTTTTGGTACCACTTTTTGAAATTTTCACTAAWTTTTTTATGTATTTAGTTTTTTTATTTCTTTCACCAGCCTTTAATTTAATTAATTTAATTAGGAATTGTTGTGAAGTTTGGTAATGTCTTAATTTTAAAAGTCAAAATTTGATCTAGTCGCCTAGATCGCACATGATGACGTCGCGTTCTATGTCTATTAGAGAATTAAAATGGAGGCAAATTAGAAAAAAATTGTTTTCAATATTCTTACCATTTTGTCAAATTTCGGGTAGGACACTTGAAAAAATCTTGAGAACTCATTTRGAGGTTACGCACAATGACAGTTGAATTTTCCAACGCCTTCTGAATAACACTGCTACGCGTTACCAACTGACGCAAAATTCACTAAACATTTTTAAATAACAATTATGTCTATTTTTTGTTCTGTTATTGTTTTCTCCGGGTTTAATTACATATTTTGCTTTTTTTGTAATTACATCTCTTTCAGGCGGCAAATTTTTACTAAATTTTCTTGCATTTAGTGCCTTCACTTTTTGGTCTTTTGCTCATTGACATTTCCATTTTTATTGTATCTTTTTTTTGTTTTAAATGTTTATTGAAGTCATGTTTGTGTGATTGTTATTATTTCAATTTTTTGAGTTTTATTTGGTTTTATTTTTTATTTGCTTTATTATTAAAATTTAAAGTCAACTCTTTTTTTCTTTCAAGTTTTCTTTTTATCATTGATTGTTTTTTCTTTTTTTTTTCTTCCTTTCTTTATCTTTTCTTCCTAGCTTTCGCACGAGAAACATTCACATTTTTTCTTCCACTTCTTTTTTGGTACCACTTTCTGAAATTTTCGCTAAATTTTCGATGTATTTAGTTTTTTTTATTTCTCTCACAAGCCTTTAATTTAATTCAGTGTCTCTTGCTCTGTAGTATTTCTATTTTTATTGCTTTTTTTTGTAGATGTTTATTGTAGTCATTATCAATAAAATTTAAACTCAACTTTTTTCCTTTCATTGTGTGTTTTTTTTTTGTTTATTATTCCTAGCTTTTTTCCTTTTTAGCCGCACCCTTCGAGCGAGGACATCTTCATCATCCCCGAGAACGAATACTGCGCCTCGCAACACATGACCATCTTCGTCGGCTTAATCTACGTCTACAAGGGCATCCTCATGGTAACTCTCCCCTTTTTAATGCCCCCTCAAAGTCCGATTTTCTCAGATTTTCGGGGCCTTTCTGGCCTGGGAGACCCGTCACGTGTCCATCCCAGCCCTGAACGACAGCCGCCACGTGGGCCTCTCCGTCTACAACGTCGCCATAATGTGCATATGTGGCGCTGCCGTTGCCCTCGTCCTCGACCACCAAGACGCCCTCTTCCTAATCATAGGAGTCTTTGTACTATTCTGCACCACTGCCACTTTATGGTTAGTTTTCGTACCGAAAATGGTCGAATTGAAGCGAAACCCGGGAGGCTCGATTGACAAGAGGATACGAGCCACGCTGAGACCGATGTCCAAGACTCGAAGGGATTCGAGCGTCTCCGAACTCGAGACCAAGCTCAAAGATGTTAAAGCGCTCAATTCCAAGTATAGGAAGACATTACTTGATAAGGAGTCTGAGCTTCAGGTGGGGTTTTAGAATGTTAAGGTGAGCTATGATTTGGTGTTTTTTTTGGTAGATGTTGATAAGGAGGCTTGGGAATGAAGCGAAGGAAATATTAGACTCCAGGACCGACTCGATGAGTGATACGAATAGACTTTCGGTGCCTCTCTTGAGGAAGGAGGCTCCAAGTGCGACAGAGACGAGCGATATTACCTCGCTGTGCAGTCTCAGCTCGCAGGATTTTGCCTCACTCCATCGAGCAGACAGCCAAAAGCGAGTATCTCCAATTTTTTTTATTATCTTCTCTTTTTCCTTTTTGTTTAAAATTAGCTTGAGATCAAATTTTAATTGTTTTATTAGTGTATCTTGTAATTTTGTTTGTGTTTAATAATTTTCTGTTTGTTACGTAGTACAGTTGCGGAATTAAAATTTCGGGCAGTATTGTCATTTTCATAACGTAAACTCTGAAACAACCTCATCTTTTACTCTTGTCATGTTTTCATGTTTATGTGATTTTGTCATTTTCAAAAATAGTGATTTGTCTCAGCAGATCAAAACGATGATTTAATTACACTTATTAGGCTATTCTCTAAAAATTTGCTACAGTCTATAAGTTGGTATATTCCATAGCTAATAGAGCTCTGTATATGATTTTTTAAAGTCCTTATGGAATTGTATCAAAATTGGTATTCTCTAAGCGTCTATGTAAACATTCGAGTTATAGCGCTGTAATTACCCTAAAGTCTGTTTTTTTTATTAAATGGAAATGTCAAACAGTCCCTAATAAATTCATTCATGGTAATTTTAATAAAGGAAGTTGGTAGTTCCAGTTTTTGATTTAATTAAAAAAATGTCATTAAACGTCAGCAAAAAAATCGTCTAAGAAAATTTAGAGATAAAAACACCAAAACGGGAACAAATTGGATTTCGCGAACAATTTTTGAAAATTTGAAGACAAAAAGTGTGCAGGCAAAAGTCATAAAAAGATCACCGCTAAAATTTGGACGCAATTTGTAATGCAGGTTTGCTAAACATTCTCTAATTTTTAGTAAGAAATTGATGAGAATACAACATAAACATGAAAGACAAAGAACGCAATTAACTCTGGTTGCACTGTTTTTGAAGAACGAGTTGAAAAAGTAACAATTTTTTGCCGATTTTCATAAAACGTGCTTGTATCTTTTGCAAAATAACTTTTTTCTGAATAGACACCCTTTTTTATTAAAGTTTTAGAAGTAAGAAGCTCATTTTTGTTCACAACCTTCTTTCTTCTTCATTTAACAACAAATATATTGTAATTAGTGCAAAAATTGTTGCGATCCTTCACTGAATTATGTACCTATTATTAACTATACACGAAACCAATAATTATAAGAGAACAAAAATTAGGCGAAATACGGAGAGAAGAACTTATAATAAATTATTGAGGATTGACATTATTACTATGTGACAATATATCGTTATAGAGACTATAAGTCTTTACGGTCACCAATTTTCTCGCCATAACTTTATAGAGACTTTAAACTTATAGAATTTTAAGTATAGAAAAATACTTCCTTAGAGAATTCGATTTTTACTTATAGTCGATAGCTTAAAGAGTTATAGCGCTATAGCAGGTGTTTTTTTTTTACAGAATAGCACCATTAGTTCAATTAATACATTTCCTAAAACAGTAAAAAAAAATAAGTTTCATTGTCAAATGCCAGTCATGATGAAGTTTACAGTGAACTTTTTAAAGAGACAGAAAAATAGTGCCCGAAATTTTAATTCCGCAACTGTACAGGGTGCTGCATTTTGGATGACCGAAACTAAGATGTTTAGCCAAAAACGAGTGATACATTCTGGGGCTCAATTTTTGAGAAAATAATATTGGTTAAAACCGCATCCCGCTATCGCCTTTTGTTTTCGAGTTACAGACAAAAGTTGACATTTTGGAGAAATCTAAAAAAAAACATATCTTCGTTATTATAGAAGATACGGATTTGAAATAAAGACATTATAGAGGCACTTTTTTATGTAGAATTTAATAATGTAGTTAACAATTTTTTTCAGTTATTAGTTTAGCCGTAATAAGATAAACTTGTATTTTTTTAAATAGAAATCATAGGCGGCTATGGCAATTTTGAAAAGCTTATTTTTTTCTGATCTCAAAAATATATATTTGTAACAAAATATTTTTTTATAACTATACTTAAAAAGTGAAATACATATTTTGTTTGATAATAGTTGGCCATGGAAAAACTATTTCACTCCAAATGTGTAAATAATAATCAATAAGAGTTTTGTGAACTGTAAAATAGATGAACAAATAGATAAGATTATAAAAATTTAAAAAATACGAACAGATATGCAAGCGCCTCAGAACAAAATTATTACATATTTTAAAAAAATCCAAAAATAGGAAAAACAAATGTGTCAACAGTCAACATAATTAGAAAAAACATTTTTTTGATGATCTAATGGAGGTAGGATAACATTTCAGATAGACGGAATTTGGGTATTTGAATAGCCATATCGTCATTTTTGTCTCATATAAAATATATTTTATTGAAGAATTAAAGCGACTTTTTTTTACAACACTCTATGTATTACTAGAAGTTGCAATGGTAATGTTAGCTTGTTTAAAAACAAAGAAATGTTATTAGTCGCCAATAAGTTGATTTACAATTTATTTTGCATCTTTTCCATTACTTAGTACTTTGAAAACTCTTTCATTAGTGACACTGGTTGAGTAATATAGTTTAAATCTTTTTAGTTGACGATGCAACATTTTTTCATGGCCAACTGCGAACAAAAATCAAAGATAATTTTTTGCTAAAAATGTATTATAATAATTTGTTACAAATATATATATTTTAGATAAGAAAAAACAAGCTTTTTAAAAATAACATAGCCATCTATGATTCCCATTTAAAAAAATAAAAGTTTAGTTTATTACGGCTAAACAAACAACTGAAAAAAATTGTTAACTACATTATTAAATTCTACGTAAAAAAGTGCCTGTATAATGTCTTTGTTTCAAATCTGTGTCTTCTATAATAACGAAGATATGAATTTTTTTAGATTTTGCTAAAATGTCAATTTTTGTCTATAAGTCGAAAACAAAAGACGATAGCGGGATGTGGTTTTAACCAATATTATTTTCTCGAAAAATGAGCCCCAGAATGTATTACTCGTTATTAGCTAAACCTCTTAGTTTCGGAGATTCCCTATTCGGACATCCAAAATGCAGCACCCTGTACATATTTGGGTACGTTAACAGTCTAGTGTATTTTCTGTTTTTCATGTTGGTGACAAGTAGAGTACATTAAAAAAAAACAAGTTTCAGAAGACCAGTCTTGAAGCACGAATTCAAGTTTCAAAAAGAGAGAGTCTAAAGAATGAGTGCTTCTAACTCTTATGAAACGAATTTTTTTACTATTTTTAGTAGTTTGCCCTCTTATTGTCATTTTTAAACAAAAACTTTTACTTTAACCGATTTAGGAATTGTTGTGACGTTTGGTAATGTCTTAATTTTAAAAGTCAAAATTTGATCTAGTCGCCTAGATCGCACATGATGACGTCGCGTTCTTTACTATGTCTATTAGAGAATTAAAATGGAGACAAATTAGAAAAAATTGTTTACAATATTCTTACCATTTTGTCAAATTTCGGGTAGGACACTTGAAAAAATCTTGAGAACTCATTTCGAGGTTACGCACAATGACAGTTGAATTTACCAACGCCTTCTGAATAAGTGAATAACACTGCTACGCGTTACCAACCGACGCAAAATTCCCTAAACATTTTTTAATAACAATTATGCCTATTTTTTATTATTTCAATCTATCTTTTTGCTTTTTTGTGATTACATCTCTTTCAGGCGGAAAAAAAGTCCGGTCTGTGAGTCCCCCAGACTCGAACCAAACGCACAACCCCAGCCCGACCCCAAACCCACTCAAAACGGCGACGTGCCCCCTCAACCCGAAGCCCCCCCTCCACGCATCGACTTATCCCCCGAGCCCAAACGCCCTAACCGAACCCCCGAGAAGCGTCGCATGAGCATGCGGACGGAAATCCCCGAACACGACGAAATCTGCCACCGACGTGTCAGCGTCCCCAGCAATCGCACCACTCCCAAGAAGAAGCCCGAGTGCGGGACTCACGTCGTGGCCAAAAGCGAGCTCTGGGACACCGGGAGTCAACACCGCTGCATGAAAGGCCACCAGAAGAACCGCGTGAGTATTTCGCAGGAGGAGGAGGACGCGCATATGCACAGATCGGTCTCGGAGCGCAACCGCCACTCCCAGAAGAGGGAAAAGTCGCCGGTGGCGAAAAAAGACGTGAATATATGCAACCAGCAGTGCAACAAGTTGGGGTACTTCCAATCCACGCCGAATGTGGCGGCTTTGAAGACGGCGGCGTGTCCGCCGAAGAGGGACAAGTCCATGTACAACGCCACCTCCGAGAGCGAGCTCCTAGACAGGGAGATTTTGCCCATCTTTCAGAAATTACTAACAGAGAGGAATAAGAGCCAACATAACATTGATTACTCGTTCGGGCGGTCGTGTCCGAACATTTCAATCAAGTGCGACATTGTAGAGTATTTGTAAGAGTGTCAACAAGCCTAAGAACTAGTACCGCTTTTTATACTAGGTGTTTGAACTAAGGAACACTCGGTGTTATGACAGACTTATAACAATCGATAAGATCTCCTCATGGTTGTGTTAACGTTAGAGCTCTATGTTGTACAATTCTAAATCTTAGATTATTAATGTTAACTATAATAAATAAAGAACTAAAACACAATATCAGCTGTTTTTGTTGTTTTTTCTACTTTGCGTTCGTACTAAGGTCCATTACGAAACTGTTTTGGGTTTCGTAATGAAGAAAAACACTGCTATAAAAATTATACTAAAAAGAGGGAAATTTAGTCTTATAATGTTGGCGACCTAATCGAACTGTCAGTGTCAATCGGCCTAACGCAAATGAAATTATGCAAATACGAAATTTTTGCTGTTTGGTTTAATTAATCATCGCAAAAAATATTCAGAATTAACATTATGATCATAGTGGTGCTTACGCATACCTTTAGGTCATAGGACAAAATAAAATAAAAGGTAGAGTTCATAGAAACCAAAAAGGATGCGCAGAGACGAAAACACGTCGCGGACGAATCCATTCGTAAATATAGGGGAGTTCTAATATCAGCTGAGAGCAGTGGCGTGTATTCGCACTTATTTATTTGAAGAAAACAAATAATCCATATACTGTAATGAAAATATTTTATTACTTTGTTAATAAATAACATTTTTAAGGCATTTGTTCTTTTATAAATTGCAATACTCAGTAACCATTTGAGAAAGTTATTAGAAATTGTTCAACAAGGTTCAAATTATTATCAAAATAAAGTCCATTTCCAAACCACAAGTCTAATCACTATTTGCAGTGTACAAGTTGAGCCGCAGACGTACCTATATTTTTTATTACATAATACATTATATTGTAGTATAATGAAAAAAATAAATTTTAAAATAGTTATCAAATGTAGGTATACCTACAATTGCATAAGCATTAACTATAAGAATAGTAAATATATTTTATTAGTTTTATAGTAAAAAATTCCAATTTGACTTACGAATATAAAGTGACAATTTGAAATTACTAAGTCCCATCAGTTATATAAAAAAAATTAATCGCCTGTAATTCTGATTTAAACCCAAAAAAATTAAAAATTTGAGGGTTCATCTTCTTACATCTTATTGACTAGGTATGAAAACAAAACATCACTAAAAATGTTTAATATACCTACTTATTAACAGGGGCATCTTATAAATGTTAACTTTGAAAAATTAATTAAAATTAATTATGATACAAAAAATGTTTTTAATATGTTTACATTTTTAATAAACGAATCTATTCGTTACTGTTTGTTCGTATTTTATTTATACAGAAATTAATATCACCGTATATTTGAAATAAACGTGGAGCATCGTATGAATTTTTTATATTTAATATCTCAGTCAATAAATATACGAAAAAAATGCAACTCTACAATTCCCTTTTTATCAAAGAATGGTTCTGTGTTACGCCACTGCTCAAGTTTCCCCACTACACCGAGTACAGTTGGAGACAAAATACTTTGGTCGTCACTTTTCTGACACTTTAATGTAATTCAAGTTTTAACGTTAAAATGAACGACAATGTCAAATTACTGACAGCTATTATATTTTTCTGTCAAAAATATATACATACAACTTGTCAACTACGATTGACAGTAGCTAAAAATAAGGTCAACAGTCCTAAAGCATGCTTTACAATTTAATGTCACTCAAGTGACATTGACGACCAAAGTATTTTGTCTCCAACTGTACGCATTGGCTCCGCCTATCGATATCCTTCTTGGTTTCTATGAACTCTACATTGCAAAACGAAATTCATTTTTACGAATAAAATAATGACGTTTCAAATTAATTTATTTCATAGCCACCTAGCCACCACGCATGTCGCCAACTGTCGCAAAAGTCTCTACATTCCAAAATTTTATTTTTTTTTGTTTAAAAAAGTGCAAAGTAGAAAAATACTGTATAATATCCCGTTTATAAAGCATTTTATCGCACTTACTGCTTTATGACATGTGCGTGCGACAAAATGCTTCTTATAAAACTCGTATCATAATATACTATTTTGTATCCCAACATGGCGTGTATAATTGGTTGCATAACCTAACCAAAAACATATTTTTAGTTTTGACTTTTATGTAATATTTTTTTCATTTACGTGATAACTACCCGTACCAACTACTATAACTGATCAAAAAGTGCAACTTGATGCGTGGGAAAAATAATAAACAAAGTAACATCTAATTACACACTTTATTACACAATTTAACAAGTTAACATTTTTTTGGCGGGATCCAGGCCTCTATCTTCGGCCTGGTCGTAGAATATGGCATGTACTGCCCCGATGTGCCACTCATATTCTCTGTATGGTCCAACATCCACTTGTACTTAGGCCTGAAGGGTTCCTGGTCTGGGGTCAAGTCAGTTTTGTAGTGCAACCAACCGTACCACTCGGCTGGTACCTGACTACCATCATAGTCCAAATCTAGCAAAAAATTTAAATTAGGGCGTGAAGGGGGCTATTTTGGGGTGTTTTACAATAATATGGAGCATACTCAATCCATCGGTTTCTCCCATAGAAAAATCGCTTGTTTTCGTAATATTTATTCCCGTATTTATCAGTTCCTACTAATGTGCCTACTTTTAATTCGTCCATTCTGGAAATATAAAGGGGGCACATTTTGAGGTTATGTTACATAACTGTCGTTGATACATACCTGAACATTTTATACAGCGAGGCTCGAAGGCCCCCATTCTCTTTAATTATGTTCAGGACTGAGAAAACTTTGTCAATTCCGAGAAATTTTGCCATTTTTCCACTATTTTTTATAAGTGCAAAACACTACTGTCAATTTTCAGGGCCGCCAATCGCCACCAAACGCTTGACATTTTTACGAATTTAGAGAATAATACTAAAAATATTACGCAATTAATTACTTTGTATTGAATAAATGATAAAAATTAAACAGTTTAAGACAGTTTTGACCAGGAAATTTAAAAAAATCGTATCAAATGGTGGTAGTTGTTAGTGTTGGTACCCCTGTCAGTGTTATTTTTTTTTGTGTTTTGATTTCTGAAACTTGTGAAAATTGTTGAATTGTTTGTGTTGAAAGTGTTGTTGTGACTGAAATTGTCCTCAAATTAGGTAAGAGACTAGTTAAGCGCCTCTTCAGTAATACTTTCCAACGGTCGTTAGAAAAAGTGGGGTTACTTTAAGCGATCACACTTTATTCTCACAACGAGTAGTACATCGTTCATAAATAATATAAAAATTTCAATTTCGCCTACACTAAGCACGTTAAAAACATCGTCACCCTTTCCCAGGGCCGGCTTCGCCCCTTTTACCCCAGTTCCGCCAGGACCGAATCCAGGTCCTCCTGCAACCCCGCCGTCAACTCCTTCTGTTTATTCAAATCATCCTGAAGCCGTTCTGCGTTTGTTTTCATCATGAGGTTTCCTTTTTTGAGGGCGGCGAGAATTTTCTCGTGTCGGTTCACCCTCACTGAGAGATTTTCGCGTTTCTTCTCAATTGGGGCATCTTCAGGCTCGCTTTGACTGCGTTCGGAGTCACTCTCATCCTCGCTTTCTTCTGTCTCGGACTCTTCGCTGCTTTCTTCCTCTTCTTCCACCTCCTCTTCACTCTCTTCTTCTTCCTCTTCTTCGTCGTCACTGACGTCTTTCATCAAAGCGGCCATTTTGTCCACTTCTTTCTGCAAGGCTTTGTACTTCTTCTTTTCTTCCTTGATTGCGACTTGGTGCTTCTTCATAATTTCCCTCAAAGCGACTCGTTCTTTCTTCGCGTTGTCTTCCTTGTTTTTGAAATTACGTAATTTGTTCCTTAGTGTTTTCAATTCGCGTTGTGCACGTTTCTCACGTTTTTCTTCTGTATCTTCACCGTCACTTTCTTCGCTTTCTTCGTCTGCGAAACATTCGTCTTCGCTTTCTTCACCATTGACCATATCTTTGCTAATTGACGTTCTCTTGCCTTGTAATGCTTCTTGTAACTTCTTCTCCAATAATTGATTTTGTCTCTTCTGTTCTTCTAACTGGAATCGAGTATTGTCTAATTGTTCAGTCGCTTCAGCAAATTTCTTCTCGACTTCTTCGGAGGTTTTTCGCGCTTGTTCTGATTCTTTTCTCAGCGATTGGATTAGTTTTTCATCGCTGGACTTATCACTGGTGTTTGTGGATTTATCGCGATTTCTTTCTTTCTCCAATTCGGCCTCTAGATTTTGAATTCGGGCAAGTAATCGTTTATTTTCGCGAATTTGGGCTTCCTTATTTCGTAATTCTAGAGCTAGCATTTGTTTCGTACTTTGTAAATCATCACGGACTTTATCAATGTCGTCCATTTCGTCAACCTCATCTTCTATTTCTTCCTACAAAGAAATTTCTTACTGATAGTTTCAAGAGAATTAAAAATGGGCATACTGGTGGCATACTAGCCATTGAAACCGACTTCTGAATCTGTTCTTCTATGGTCATCTGTCTTCTAAATTTCCTCAAACCCTCCAACATTGGTTTACTTCTATCATTCGTCTTGACTTTTTTCAAACGGATACCATCTTGGATCTGAAACCAACTCATTTACCATTTCTGATCAGAAGAAATGACTCACTTGTTTCAGAAGTTCATTATGGACGTTATCTTTCTCGCTTTCGAAAACAAAATGTTCGGTTGCTTTGGTTTTGGGTAGGAGAGGCTGTGACCGATCGTTACACTCCACATGTTTCAATTTTTTGTTACTTTCGATTTCTTTCAACATGGCGGTCCAGTCAGGTCGTACTTTTGGTCGTGATCTAAAAACAGTGTATAGTCATAGTAGGCCTGGAAAAGGTACTCACTTCAATTGTTCGAGTTGTTCCTTCTGCTTGGCGGTGAGATTCTTAGCTCCGGGCATGGCGGGGGCTGGAGGCGGCATAGGGGGCGGTGCAGGTGTCTGCGAAAGCTTCCTCATGCTCTGTTCTCTCACTAAAGCGTTTCTTGCAACTGGTGTAGCCTAAAACCGGCCAAAAATAGCTCAGTTTTTGCCCCAAGCTCACTAGATGGACTTACTCGATCTATTTCCTCATCTCTTGAAGGTGATTTTTGTAGAGGTTTTCTGGCTTCGTTCTTTTGTCTTTCACTCACACTGTTTAGTTTGACTGGTGGTAGAGTCTCTTTCTGTGGTTTTGTTTCTTCTTTTGGTGGCACTGGACGCAATTGTGGCCTTTTGAAAGTGTTTTCTTTACCGTTTTCTTGCGGTTCTTTAGTAGTGACTGAGGTTTTGCGTAGCTGGACTCCAGCTGGAATTCGGGGGGTTGAAATGAGTGTTTTAGTGAGAGGGTGAGTGTACCTAAGGGGTTTTCACTGGGTGTTTCTTTCGTGCTGTCGCGACGGGTGTTTTTGAGAGTCCAGGGGGCTGGGGGTACTGGTAGGGGGTTAGGGCCGTCTTTTACCCACGGGGGTCGAAAAGTTTTACGGGCGGCGGGGTTCGAACCGCTCGCTTCGTTGTCGTTGCCCGATGGCATGGCTTTTGTGAATACCCTAAGTGGAAGAGAGAGAAAGATAGTGAAAGAGAGAGAAGAAAAGTAGGGGGCGGAAATTTTTGGCTTTTTAAGGTCTTTGAATCCATTTTTTTGGGGGGTTTTTCACTTTTTATTGGTGTAGGGAGCATTTTATTCTCTCATTTGCAGTTTTATTATGTACAAAGCATCAAAACTGTTAATAGACTAACGTAGGTTGTTTTTATGGCTTCGAAATAAAATCTACATTGTGGGAGTTTCTATTTTTTCAAGAAACCTAAAATTTTCCGCCCCGTTTTAGCAACAATTCTGTTAGTTTCCGGTATATTTTTGTTGTCTGTACACAAGTGTTATGCTGTGTGACCGGATGCTGGCCGCCCCCGCGTCCTTTTCGCGTTTTTTCTTCTATTTTTATCATGCGTCGTCCTTGCCTTTCGATGTTAATCGTACACAAGTCTCATGTCGATCGTGATCCTGATTCTGCGTGGAATATTGTCGAAACGTCATCTTGATTATTGGCACGAGGCGTTGTGATGACCCAATTGCTTTTATAATTAGATGATTTTGTGCATGGTGCATGGTGTTTGTGTGTGTGTGTAATGCGTGCGGATTGAGCTAAGAAACATGCTTTAGTAACAATGATGACTTACATGATTCCCTATTTTTGATCTCTACGTTGCACTATCACACTACTAGAGCGGGTTTAGGGATTTTTGAGGGTTAAGAGCCTGAAAAATGCTGAAAGAGATTAAGTGAAGCGGTTTTCAAGGGAGGGTTTAAGCGCGTGATGATTCGAAAATGAAAAAGTGTGGAGAAAGTAAGGCGAAAATGATGAAAAAAGTTTTTACCAATCTTGCAAAATTGATGCTATTTTCAAAATAATTGGTTTTGAAAAAACTGTCAGTATTTTTATGGTGATTTTTATGACATTCTATTTAAAACTTTGCGCAAAGTGCATAATTTTAGGATAGCAGCTGTAAATTTATAAAAAAATTAAAACTTTTAACACATGAAATGAAAATGTATTATTTTTCAGTGTCTGAACAGTGCCAACATTGCAAACAAATAAAATTTACACATAAATAACTATTTCTATTGAAATGAATTCAAAAGTGGAATTATTTCTAAAATGTATTTTTTTTATTTTTTAGAAATTTATCGTAAAAATGGTATTGTATTATAGTTATTTATTTTTCTATCGTTTTCGTTTGATTATCTCGACAAGTGTGAGCCACATTGACGCGAAATGTCAACAACTGTCAGAAGTTTCAGATTGAATGATTGAAAATCAACGCACTCTTAGTTAATTTTTTTTTTGAAATTTTCATTTTTATGGATTTTTGGGCCAAATAATATTAATTAACGAAAATAACTTGTTCGTTGCAGTAAAGGTTAGACTGTATTTTCATTGTTTATCATCGTTTATTGTATAAAGTTTGATATTTTTTGCTAAAGTGGCTAGCAAAATTGCTCCGTGATCCCCTCTCCAAAAACAATTGTTATTTTGCGCGAGAGAGATGGTTAATTAATTTTTACACGGGTTGAGAGAGTTTGAGCTATCACATTTTAGTAAGATACAGGATGTTCAAAAAATCGCGCACTTCTTTGAAAGGGAGTAATTGGGTAGTCCCCCACAATACTGAAAAAATGTTTAAAAAATTCTATCTGTCAAAAAATTTTGACATTTACTTTTTTTATAATTATTTACTAAAGGTACAAAAATTTTTTCAATAAAAGCCTCAAATAACACTAAACAGAATTACAATGTATGATACAGCTTTCTTGTTTTTTCTTCTAATAGCCTGTAGCAAAAAACTCGGAAAATTATTTTTCCAACAGAAATAAATAGAATCAAAGTGCAAAATTTAAACTCTTGTAACTTCGAAATTTTTATAGATAGAATTTTTAAACATTTTTTTAGTACTCTGGGGCACTACCCAATTACTACTCCCTTTCAAGGAAGTGCGCGATTTTTCGAACACCCTGTATAATTATTTTTATGCAAGACAATCTTTAGCGTCGTGTATAATATTTTGTTTTATTTTACCAGAATTTCTTGTACAAAATAAAGAATATAATCAGTAGATAAAAATTACTTTATGTCAGTAGACGATAAAAGACTACTTTATCTACTGAAATTAGTTGATAAAAGCATTCTTTAACATTGAGTACAAAATAAAAGTTTATTATTTATCATTTTAATGCTAATAATTTTGTAAAAAGGAATAGATTTAAACAATGCTCTATTTTCCAAAAATGTTTTTCTAACATTTTACAGAGAGAAATTTCTTGACTTTTGCAGTGATTTATTGGACTTCTTTTTGCCTTAAATTTGTAATAAAAAAATATTTTTGTAATGTAATTTGAATTTTCAATTTGATTATTTATTTTGTGTAGTCATTTCTATATTCTGTCTGGTTAGAAGTAAAGTTTTGATTTACAATTGACCTATTTTTGATTCAGCAAATCAGACTTTACTTTCACTATTTTGCAATTTTTTTTGTTTTTAATCAGGATTTTGGCTTAAAAAATTGAGAGTTTGTTCATTTTCACTCAATTTCGATTACTCAAGTGAATCTGTTTGGCATTTCCTCCTCAAACCTCTCAATCGAGGCTAAAAAAACAATCATCACTCGAAATCATCGAAAATTGTTTTCGCTTCTCAATCTATTTATAAATGATGGGCAAAGAGCGTCGTAAATTGTTCGATGGACCCCTCCTAAAAATAACTTTAAATTGGCCGATGACAAAAAATCTTGTAAATAAACCTCAAATTGCAATAATAATAATATCTTGGGAGGGGTCCCCTTCTCCGGATTTTGCAAGTCACCGACAAATAATCGCGGTAAGGGGGCGGAGGGGGGCAAGTCCCCCCAATCGTGTGTCTTTTGTTCTTGTGTTATGTAACTTACCTCAAAAAAGCACTGAAAAACACACACTACAACACTTGTATGGAAAAACACTTTTCCGTTGCGAAAATTTTTCGCCGATTTCGGTTGTTTTTCAGTGCAACACGCACACGTTTTCAGTGTGGCATTCGCGTTCGAAATAGCTGATGGCTATTTCAGGCGTCGTGACGTTTCACGACGCCCAACCGATTCGAAATATTTCGGCGATTTTGTAAGAAAAATGACGGAAAAATGCGCTTCGGGAAAAGTCGGATTTTAAGGGGAAAAGTATTAAAAATCACGTAATTTTTTTTTTTTCTCACATTTCATGATAAATTTTTGCAAGGTAGGGGGATTGATCTAAAAAACAAAATTTCATCCAAAACTTTCTTTATTTGTTTTTCGGTCATCTTGTACTCATTTTGCACAGTCAGTGCTACTAACCGTTCACCAAACTAGAGTCAAAATAACCCCGATCAAGATTTGTGTTTGAAAAAAAAAAATTGTCTTCTACTCCACTGTTTTCTTCTTTTCTTCTCTCCCCTTTTACCCCAAAATGCTCCCACGTGGAGATCTCCCCAAACAATCTATCCCCTGGACACTCCGTCTCCCTCACCTGTCTATGCCCCAATAATTTATAATCCTCCCTGATATACCCCTTTTCTACCCCAAATTCGATCAACTCGTGTACAGTCTTCAGTTGATGCAAAGGGGGTAATTCTTTAGTCCAATCGCCGATAACACAGATTCCTATACTGATATTGTTGTATTTGGGGGCGTGGGCGCCAACTTTTGACCACCCCCGTCCTTCGTAAGCGTTTCCGTCACCCCCTACTCCAAAACTGTAACCGATATCGTTCCAGCCGTTTTGTAATTGGTGCATATCTTGCATGGTTTGCATTGATTGGACACATTCTTCGGGGGTGTGGCAAGCGGGCGGGATGTAACTGTGGTGGATGATGACAAAGGGGACGGGATTAGTCATGGGCTCGGTGGCGGTTGGGGGGCGGGCTTGCCAATCCTCGCGGGGTACCACCACCAGGTCGCTCATTACACCTAAAAAAAAATCGACATTAACTTTGTCGGTGACTGTACTTTTTTAATAAATTTTGTTATTGACTGTACTTTTTTTATTTCTTTCTCTTACGTTTACTCTTGAATAATTAAGAATTGTTTACAAATGAGGTCTTTGATTCGATTTAGGCGAAAAAAAAGTAACTAAACTGGTTGTATAAAAGTCGAAGCCTAATTAATATACAGTAGTTATTCGCCACTGATAACCGCTATCACAAAAATTCGAAACAGTCATGTCACTACTTGAATTTTCTAAAATTGTCGTTACAAGATTGTGATAATTGCTCGAATTTCGTACAAAAACTTGAGAGAAAATTTCGAAAAAAATCTAACACTTGTTTATCGATCACATTGACATTATAAAAGATATTTTAGCTTACCTGTGGTTAAAACAGCAAGAAAATATAGCAGAAATGTATACATTTTGTCGCTGAATTTTTCGTGAAAAAATCTCGCTTCTAAATGAAATCCATCGCGATAAAAATCTTATTATAAATCTGAGAGCTATTTTTCGATAAAAAATTTATCATTGTTGGCACAACTGCCACTAATACGCCACGCTGACTTTGACATGATTATATAAATATTCATAATTGGCCGGTAAAAAAAAACTAATCGGTTCACACAAAATTAGTGGCTAGTATAGCTGGTCCGGAAGTAACACTCACTTAACACCAATACTTAATTTTTGACTAATTTTCGATTATAGCTTTTTTGGGGTAATTTTTTTAAAGAGAAACCATTGATTTTTGGATAGTTTCTCGTTTGAATGTTATTGATTTGAATTGTGGTCACTGTTTGGACCACACTGTAGCTAGTGACTGGTTTGTTTGCAGTGTCAACTTGTTTCGAAGCGGATTTTCTTCGGAAGCATTGTGATTCCCCTTTCAGATGACGCAATTGGCATTTGTGGGGTCATGATATTGACAGTTTTTTACAATTTTGAGGAATACTCAGCGTTTTTAGTCACACTGTATATGAATTACCGGAAATGAGATCAGATGACAATTATAAAAAATCTGTAATGGTCGCTATTTTTTTAAATAATAGTTTATTTTTTTATTTCCGTTTTAATACACATAAAAATCTTGTATTGGTAAAACTTTCACTCTGACTTACTTTGCAAATTTCAAACTACATTAGTATTTTTTTGATGTGTTGTTTATTTATTTGTGTTTTTCAGGTTTATGATATTAACAATAATTGTAGATAATTGATGTGAAGTTTTTTTTTCTTTTGTGATTTCTAGTTAGTTTAATATTACAATTCTTTGTTTTGACGATTGTTTTTTTTTCTTACCATTTATTTTTTTTTTTTTTTGGTGTTTTCAAGATTTGTCTATTTACTTATCACTCTTTTTTTCTTTTCAATTATTTGTACGTTTTACTTATTTTTTGTAATTTTAACGAATGTGTGAACTTTTTTCGCATTTTTGGGCTTTTTAGCTATTTCAAAGTGTAAACCAATAGTTGAGTGTGAGTGAACTTTCTGAATTGTTATAAATTAATAAAAACATGAAAATACTGTCTAGATAAGATAAATTTATTGCGAAACGTAATGTTGGATTTAAAAAAAAAGTTTTTTTTTTCTAATCCTAAAATACGATAATATTTTTAAAACAGTTTTCTTCTGCGAAAAGTCAAACTACGGAAAAATTTTTAATTGTAAAATGTGTATTATTTTTTTCATAATTTTTGTTTTTATTTTTCCTAAATGAGACACCGTCGCAATATAGAGGAAGTTTCGAGAATTTTAAAAACAATCGAAAAGCGCTAACGTAGAAACTTTGCAAAATAAATTTGTTGCATTCGTGGGCCGTGTAAAAAAAACTGTTAAATTAACGACTTGTTATTAACAATTTAGTTAGAAAAAATGGTCTTTTTTACTTTAAATTCTTTTCGAACTGCACTAAAGTTTGTTTCTGCAAAAAGTCAAATTACTGAAAAAAATTTAATTGTAAAATAAGTATTATTTTTTCAAAATTTTTATTTTTATTTTTTCTAAATGAGACACGGTCGCAATCTAGAGGAAGTTTTGAGAATATTAAAAAGAATCGAAAAGCGCCAACGTAGAAATTTTGCAAAATAAATTTGTTGCCTTCGTGGGCCGTGTAAAAAATTCTATTAAATTAACATTTGTTATTAACAGTTTAGTTAAAAAAAATGGTCTTTTTTACTTTAAAGGCTTTTCCAACCGCACTAAAGTTTTTTTCTGCAAAAAGTCAAATTACGGAAAAAAATTGTAAAATAAGTATTATTTTTTCAAAATTTTTATTTTTGTTTTTCCTAAATGAGACACGGTTGCAATCTAGAGGAAGTTTTGAGAATATTAAAAAGAATCGAAAAGCGCCAACGTAGAAATGTTGCAAAATAAATTTGTTGCCTTCGTGGGCATAAAATTAAAATTTTTACTTTCAGTTTGTGTGGAAAATTTCCAGCCCAGATTCCCAGCCAATGTGTTGCCAACTGTAGAATATTAATCGTCGCCTACTCTAATTTATTAATTTTTTTGATCGCACGGTATTTTCAAGATTTTTCTATGTATCTGTCAAGCTTTTTTTTTCTTCTCAATAATTTGTACATTTTACTTTTTTTTTTTGTAGTTTTTATTACAAATTAAATAAAAACATGAAAATACTCTCTAAATAAGATAAATTATTGTGAAACGTAGATGTTGGATTTTTTTTTAATAAATTGTTTTTTTTTTCGTCTAATCTTAATCGTAAAATACGTTAATATCAAGAAACAATATTCCAAATATGCACTAAAAAGATAATGCGATATTTTTAGTTTTTTGTATTTTTATTTATGACAATTCTTAGATTTGTAACGGAAAATACGCATGTTTTCCAAGCAAGCTCTACTTCTATAAAATTCTGGTAAAAATAATTTGTAATCACAATTTAAAGAAACTCAAAACCACTTATACCTCATTATTGCTGAACAAACACTTGAAAACAACTGCACAAATATTTTTCTTAAAATTTCAACCACTTATTTTTATTTTTGGATTACCTTGGATTACCATTTTTTTTTTTCAAAAACAAAAAACAAGGTGTTTTGTGGACTTTTGTTATTCAAAGTCAGATTTCATTTTTTTTTTAAGTAATGGCACGAAGGCCGCCCCCCACACACCGAATCCTCGTCGAAGATGCGATGATTAGACGACGGGAAAAAGAATTTTGTCATGACCGTCTGTGGAACGGCCAAAGAAGATATTACGAAGACTTTGAAAGGAAAAATACGAAATATGATGAATGGACCTCACCTCGTTATTACGAAAATCAGAAAAAAATCATAGAAAAAACGAAGAAACAACGTGAACATGATGAAAATCTTGAACGAAGAAGAGAAAAATTAAGGAAATTGTTTTATGAAGAAGAAAAGTTGTTTGAGGCTGAATTGAATATACGTAAGGTCAGAAATATGGCCTCTGTGAGGTCACCAAGACCTAACGAGATCCCAACTGAAATCCTCAAGGAACTCAATAATGGTATTTTGTGCAGTTTACAATTTGAAGATTTATTGATTTTGATTTGTAGGTTTGAAGTTAGAAGAAGAAGAAAGAAGACGACACGAAGCTGAACTCAAATTGTATCACCAATGGAGGAGTAGTAATCCGTTTCTAAATCATTATGAAAGGATGCAAGCGAGTAGAGATTTGAAATTGTCTTGGTTGGACCAACAAATCGAAAATCGAATGAAGAAAGAGAAAGAGGAAGAAGAATGTCGCAAATTACTGAAAGAACGCGAAAAAATCATGAAGGAAGAACAGGAGAAGTTTGATCAAGAACAGAAAAGATTACAGTTGAAAAAAGAAGAATTAAAAGCTAGTCTTGAACAACAAATTGAAGAAATGCGTCTAAAGACACAAATTAGTGAAGAATTGAAACGCAAAGAAGATGAAGAGAGGAGAAAAAAAGCCGAATTGGATGAAATTCAATTGAAAAGGATTGAAGAAGAGAAAAGGAGACTTGACAGAGAGTGCGCTCTTCATAACATCAAGCAACACAAACTTAAATTAAAGAAGAAAGCCGAAGATGTGGTGAAGACTTTGGATGAAGAGCGTTACTTAATTCAGAAATTGAAAGAATTAGAAATTGCAGAAAGACTTGAAGATGAAACAAAGAAGATCGAAGTTAAAACTGCACTAGACCAGTTTTTGGCATTGAATCAAGAACAGAAGAAACTGGAGAAGATTCGCCAAAAGAATTTGGATTTTTTGTTTGATTCGGAAGCTAAGTCACTGTATGAACAACAAGAGAAGTGTTGGAAGGAAGAAGAAGCTTTAAGGACAAAACTATTGAAAGATGTTATTAAAACGATACAAAAACAAATTGAAAATAACATTGAGAAGAATAGGAAGAGACAGTTGGAGGTAATTCAAGAAAGGGAAGAAATGCTAAAGAAGATTGAGGAGGACAATCGGGAAATGGCGCGTTTGGAGGAGGAGGAAGAAATTAAGAAACGTAAAATAAAGTCAATGCTTAAAGAGGATCTCGAATTGAAGAATTTGAAGAAAAAGGCGAAAGAAAATTCTGAATTGAGACGAATAGACGATGAATTGGAAAGAGTTCGGAAAGAAGAAGAACGTCTCAAACAAGAGATAATAAATATACAACGGAGGCAAGGCCCGATAAAGTCCACAAGAAGCAAATTATTTTTGGGTAATTGATTACCTTAAAATATATAACGAAAGCAAGGCCCGATAAAATATTAGAACCTATTATTAAAAATAATGACAGAGAAAATGCCAAAATTCCGAGCATTTTTTCACAGTTCAGTAACTTTGTTTTTATTTTCTCGTAACAATCAAAATATTAGATTTGTCATATTTTTTGAATACTTACAAGAGATACTACATACAACGGAGGCAAGGCCGAAAAAGTCTACAAATCTAATATTTTCTTTATTCATTTCGGTCTCAAATAACTTTTCTTCTTCAAAAAACAAATTCTTCAATTTTTCTCTTCTCCATTCATGATTTTCGTCATGTTCACGTTGCTTTTTCGCCTCTTCTATGAGTTTTTGCTGATTTTCGTAATATTGTTGACCCATCATTCATCATATTTCATATTCTTTCCTTGAAAATCTTCGTAATATTTCTTTGGTCCTTCCTTTTCTCGTCGTTTGATCATTGCATTTTGTTGTTTTTTTTATTTTGGAAAAAAAATTGGGAATTTAGTTTTGGTACAGAATGAGATAAGAATCCCCAAAAATAAAATAGGTTCTAATATTTGGTGGCATATTTTTGTAATATTTGTAAGTTCTATTTTGAGTCAAGTTTATGCTATTGTTATTATTGTAAAATATGTGATTTTAATAAAATACAATTACTCGATTAAACCATTTTGTCGTTTCATTTTTCCTATTTTTACCTAGTTTTTAATTCTTAAGAAAGAATAAAAAAAGTAGAGGAGATTTGCCTAAAGAAGTTATTTTTTTGCTTGATTTGGAGGAGCAACAATACAAGCAAGTTTTGAAAGAACGAACTGATCAAAAATAATATTTACAAGAATAGAAAGACTCTTGGAAGGACAAAGAAACTAAGATGATCTAGTATTGAAAAAAAGGGAACTATCAAATTGAAATAAATAGATGAGGGAACAGCGTTTGAAATACAAAGGAAAAAGGTTCTAACATTCATAAGAAGTAAATCTATTTAATTTAATTAAATATAAATTACAAAAAATACTGGTTATGATCACACAGGACTGGTAACTTCGTCTAAATGTTTTTTCATATTTTCTAACTTCTCCATATCATTTACTGAGGAATTGCATTTGTACACAACGAGTGAATGGTAGAAATGTACAGCAAACAATACGAAAGTTATTAATACTGGAATAACAATAACAGTGGCCGCCGTTGCGGCCGTGAACGAGTAGTCCCAAAATTTGACCCAACAAAGAATAGCCACTTCCACCAAAAAGAGGAACAAACCTGAAAAAATCCAGTTTAAAAACACAAAATTCAAATTTTGGTGCCAAAATACCTAATACTGTTGAAAAAGCCCACGCCAACTCAATAAACCCCCTCATGCGTTCATGGGGGCTCTCAGCAACCATCTCGCATATTTCTAACTTAGCAACAGCGTCAATGTTTGGTAAAATATACGTTGAAATCATAAGTGCAAAAATATGCACCGCTACTAAAACAGTGGTACAAACTGCGAAAATCACAAATAACCATTCCGGCACCGCCGTGTCGTCATTTATCTGTAATTCCACCATCGCAACCATCGCGAAGCCTGAAAGAAGTTCGCTAGTGGTAGCAGTGGCCTTGAGTTTGGCACGTGACATGTGTAGGCGGCGCCAGGATAAACCTTGCGTGCTATTGGCGGGAATGCGCCGGCAGTAGATGCTATCATTGGAGCATTGACACGATGGGTCGGGCTTGTAGGTGGGGGAAGAGGTGGAGGCAACGCTCGAACTACAAGAAAAGGGCGGAGTGCGTTCCCGGGAGATGGAGCCTAAGTGGAGATCGCTGACGGGGAGTGGGAGGCGGGACAAGGGGCTGTCGGAGTAATAGATGATTTTGGCGCGATTGGTGAGGGGGTCGGGGAAGTTGAGCGATTTGGGGCGGGGCATTGACACTTTTGAGTGATTCTGAAAAGAAAAAATTAGTTGGTTAAATAATTAAACAAATAATAATGTTTTATGGTTTAATGCTCAAATTAATTGAGTAATGAATGATAAGAAACAAAAATATTTGTTCGCGAGAATACAAATCTTTTTGGCAAATAAATAATAAACACAATCATTTTTCGGGGAATTTTCTATGACTTGATGTTGAAATATGTTAAATAATTTTGGAATTTTGATAATTCCCTGTCATTGTTTTAAATAATAGTCTTCAATGTTGAGTTATATACGTTTTGTTGTCTTATCAATTTGGTTCTATTTTGAGCCAAGGATATTGTTTTTTTTTCTATTATCGAATTCGAAATACGAAAACTCTTTAAAAAAACATCAAATTGTGGTTTTATTTCCTTAATTACTGTTAAACTGACTGTTTCTCAATTATTTCGTTTCTCAAGAAAAAGTTCTCATGTTCAAATATTTCACAAGTCTCAAGATTTTTGAGAAACCTTGAAATAATAAAATTATTGAAAAAAAAAAACTTGTATAATGTATAAAATTGTAATTTTTTTAATCTTTATCAAAAAAATATATTTGAGATTTAAAGTATTTTAAGTTCTTGATCCTAATTTTATCTCAAACGACGTGCAAAAACAAGGAAAAGAAGTTACTTTTTAAAGTTCATGAATTATTTATGTGCTATTATAATTATCATAAAATTGTTCTATTGAGTGAAAAAATACGTTGATGTTTACTAAGAAAATTTCTTTTAAAGCAATTTATTGGTTTCAATTAGCTTAATTTGCTGTTATAAAATTAAGTGAAGAATAAATACATTTCATAAGAGGAATTTCTAAATATCAAAGTTTGTCTTATAAACAACATTGTTAGAACTCTCGTTTTCAAAGAATTGGAATTTTTTTTATAAAAAATATTTACTTTAAATTATTTACTATATTACATCACATCTCTGAGTACAAAACGCCCACATAATTTTCAACAATAGTGATTTTAATGACTGACATTCATTCATCATTTCTCAAAACTGAATCCATGTATTAGAACCGATTATAATTAAAAACTGGTTTGAATTTCTCTGAAAAATCCGCCAAACATTTTTTTTTCGAATCGTTTTGTAACAAACCCCATTTGAAATGTCTCAAGACCATATCCTTTCACTTTCGAGGCCCTTTATCGTCTCCCATCAACTAAAATCTATTGTAGGACGATTTAAATGTCAAGTCAATGAGGAACAAACATTCCACGCAATGCCAATGAACTCTTTCAAGTTCCGGAAAAAAATTCAAACACCTGTTTAACGACTCCGTGCTCTTTTCTTCTACTCACCCAACTATTACCATGTCCTCTATTTGTTGCAAATAAGTCGGCTGAAGTATTGTGTCTTCGCATTTTTCGTACAACTATTGGGAAATCGACTTGGGTTGATTGGTCCATTTTCGACTGAAAAAACTGCGTTGTTATTAAACTATTCGTCATTTCCTATTGACAATTATTTGAGGTAATTTATGGTTGCGTTTCCCACAGCGGGGGTCAAATAAAAAACAATGCAGTAAAAAAATACGACTAGTTAGTTAATAAAACATTTTGATAAAAATATGTTTACAACGCCGTAAAACTTTTTTAGATATGTTTCAAGCATAATTTCCTCAGTGGTCAGAGTATAATGGATAAAAATTTTATGTGAATTTTTTTTTTAATTTTCTATTCCTTCTTAATTCTAGCGTTTTTAATACCAATGACAAAAAAAAAACAAAATAAAGGTTTTTGTGTAAAG